CGAGCCATGTGTTGCAGCACCAACTTCGCGGCGCGATCTCCCTGACCACCAGGCCATCCAAGTCGGCGCCCGAGAGGGTGTTGCGGTACACCAGGGCGGCCGTCGGAAAAGTACGAGCACTCCCAGCAGAGGTGGTCCCACGTAGGAACCTGCTGACGATCACACCAAGGACATCCAGCCATGGCGGCTCCATCCTTAATGGCGCCAAACACAGCCGAACTAACAGCACCACCATGGAGCACCGCACGTCCATGCGTGCATGAACGCGCATACAGCGCAGCAGCGGCCTTAACCTGAAGCTCGCAGTAACCCACAACCGGCCTAAGAGCCCTTGCATCCCGGCGATCACTCCGTAAGAAGACTTGAAGATGTCTCCGCCTGTAAGCCTCGCGGAGAAGATGCAGCGCACGACCAAGTTGCGCCCTCGGCTGAGCGCCTGTGATGTCAATGACGCCCACACCCGGATGCACCCATTGCCCCGGCAGGGCCTGTTGAAAATCACTCGCGGTCAGGAACTTGTCGACCCGCTTCTGCCAACGTGCACCTGGCAGCACAACGCCACGAGTAATCCAGTACTCACGGGCCCGCACAAGGCCAGCAACAGCGGAGGTCCCAGCCGCAAAGCAACTAGAAACCCAAGGCCCTTCAAGCAACATCCACAGATCACGCGAGCCCATGGTAGTCACCCGACCAAGAAGCCTCTTGATCCGAGTGGTCAGCTTCGCATCTTCCTTTTTGTTGTCACTGTGGAACCACACTCCCCACGCAAGGAGAGGCGAAGCACGCGTGCGAAACAACAAGCGTTTCAGACGGGCCCCAAGCGGAGCACGGGCAAGTCGCTGCAACACCCGCTCAGCTTTGACAACACGCGCATCATGCGTGGGAACACCAAGCCCGGCCTCCCCCACGTCAAAATCAACTCCGAGGACTCTCGTCGAATCCGTGAAGCTCCTCACCGGGATGCCCCCTTGTACAAGCACTCTGCGCTTCCACGGAACTCTGCAGACAACCGCAAGTTTCTTCAAATTTTCCTTGAGACCGAGTCTGCCGCACCACTGGCCCCAACAAGTCCAAGCCCCAAGCGCGACGGTAGGATCAGAGGCAACAAGCGTGCGATCATCAACGAAAACCGACTGTTGCAGCTTAGCCCCGGCAGCAGAGGCCTGCACAGCCCTGGTGGCCTCCAAGAGCATACAAACCAGCGCCATCGGCGCCATGGCACAACCCTGCGGGACAGAGTTGCTAACCACGGACGGGCAGGCATCAGTGGCGCCACTGAACTGCAGCCATCTGTGTTGACACCCCCACATGTGACTCAGGTGTTGCGCCCATTGTGGGTGCATACCTTCGTGTTCAAGCAACCCGACTGAAAGCTCCGGTGACATGAAATCGAAGCACTTATAGGCGTCCAAACTCATGAGTATGTCATCACGAGACAGGGCAGCGTCCAAGGAGAGAACACCTGCCTCAACGCCGCGGCCCTTGAGCGCACCGTGAGTGTCAGCAGACACCTTCGCAAGGATCCAAGCTTGGGCGCGCTCCGCCATGCAGCTGGCCAGGACACGACACAGAACCGGCTGAATGCAGATCGGCCGAAGCTTATCAACAGGCGTGACGTCGGAAAGGACCTCTTCTTTAGGAAGAAAGACTTGCTTGGAGTGCTGCAGGTTGTCGGGGAAAACTTTGCGCGTGCACCAATCTTCCCACAAGCCAAGAAAAGTGCGCCAAGTATCCTGCGGAAAGGAGGCAAGCTCCTCCGGCTTCCACCCGTCAGCGCCAGGAGCGCCAGACATCCTCTTCTTGAGATGCCGACGGAACTCTTCAGGCGTGAGCCTCCAATCGTCACTCATGCGCTGCCCAGGGGGCCTGGATA